ATATATATATATATATATATATATATACATATATATATATATATATATATATATATATATATATATATGAATAAGAAAATAAGGTGTGATCATTTGATTTGTTATTTCGCTTTTAAACTATACTGAAAAACATATGGCACATATGGACTATATATATATATATATATATATATATACAGTTCTGTGTGGTTCTAGAATCTTATTGGCTGATAGCCGTGATATATTTAAGTAATATCAGCACCCGTACAGCCTCTTTACCACTTGTGTATTACTCCGCCCACATACAGCCAGCTAAAACCAGACACTACAGATCTAAAGTAGTAAACAAGTAAACAAAAGGTTTTTTTTTTGAGACTCTCCATGTTTGATTTAGGTTTTATATACACAATATGCCCTCAAACTGTTGTATAAACACAATATAAAATGTGCCAACTTGTCTGATATTGCTCATACATATATATATATATATATATATATATATATATATATATATATATATATATATATATATATATATATATATGTGTGTGTGTGTGTGTGTGTGTGTGTGTGTGTGTGTGTGTGTATATGTATGTATGTATGTATGTATGTATATATATATATATATCTCCTGGGACATATTTGGCGCTCTCCAGAAATGTATGTAGGGGTACGTAATCAAAATGAGCCTGGGTTAATAAAAACTCTACAGTACTAAGATTTTTGTGATGTTCACAATCTTTTCCATAATCAAACACAGCAACATTTTACACTTAAGCAAGTGAAGGAAAAAGCACAACAAGACCCCTAGTCCTGACCTTACGATGCATTCCCTCATGGGCTAACGGTGACTTGTTTTTGTTTCATTTTCTCATTATACAGATAACAAATATGCCCCGGCTGTGACTCTGAATGGTTATATCTTCATCCTGGGAGGAGCGTATGCCAGAGCCACCACCATCTACGACCCCGAGAAGGGAAACATCAAAGCAGGACCCAACATGAACCACTCCAGACAGTTCTGCAGGTGAGGACAGCAAGTCAACCGCAAATACACACCTGTCCATAGAGAAATCATGATGGAGAGATCTCACTGCTGTCAGAGGCTAGACAAGTCAAGGGTGCCAAAGGCGGATTTGTGCATTCATGGTTCTCTGAATACAGGTTTACTGCAGAATATAAGCCCTATTTACAGGTACATCTATGCTAGTCATCTTTTCAACTGATTCGTAAATTATAAAAAGGCAAGGGTGAGGGAAGTTTAAAGAGACTGTTCACCTAAAATTGAAAATACTGTCGTCATTCAACACTAAAGAAGATATTTGGAAAACGGAGCAATCCTGTTACCATTGACTTTCATTGTATTTTTTTCCTACACATTTTTTACACATTTTCCTCATTTGACCTTATTTCCACTATGAAAGTCAGTGGTTACAGGCTTCCAACATTCTTCAAAATATCTCATTTTGTGTTTAAATGAGTAAATGATGACAGAAATGAAATGAAATGAAATGTACCTTTAAATTCATTGCTAATAGATGCATTCAGGTACACCTACACCAAAAATTATTTTGTTTACTTATTTTTTGTTGGTTTAATTTTTTTCAGAAACATTCTTAAATAAAGACACCTTTACTATTTCTATCTATTAAATTGCCCAATAAATTGTATTTTTTACACTTACCCACACCCCAACCGTCACAGTACTGTAAAAATATTTATCTTTGTTATACAGTGTCATAAAAAATGCTGTTATATTGATATTCGGCCGGCTGCGTATCTGATCTAAACTTTACTTGGTCAAATTATTTTTCTAACCC